AGTTCTTTCTACTATTGGTTCTTCAGTTGTAGCTTCTTCTACTATTTGTCATCATTGCCTTATTTCAAAATGTCATCGCCTACCATACACTAATGTTCATCATCATTCATCGTCTCCCCTAGAATTAGTTTACTTTGATATTTGGGGTCTTGCCCCTGTAGCTTCCATTAATGGCTTTCATTATTATATTATGTTTCTTGATGATTATAGTAAATTTTGCTAGGTGTTTCCTATAACTCACAAATCTGGTACTCTACATACCTTCTTGCACTTTAAATCTTTGGTTGAAAACTTGTTTTCTTGCAAGATTAAACAATTTCAATCTGATTGTGGGGGGATAGGGGAATTTTGCTCCATTGATACTTAAAACAAAATGGAATTCATCATCGCATCTCTTGCCCTCATGCCTATTACCAGAATGGTGCTCTAGAACGCAAACATAGACATCTTACTGAAACCGCATTGGCCTTACTTTCTCATTCCTCTATGCCTTTGTCATACTGGGATGAGGCCGTCTAAACAACTGCTTTTCTCATCAACCACATGCCTACACCTGTTCTACAAGGTTCTTCACCATATCAACTCTTGTTCAAACAACAACCCGACTATTCTATCTTGAAAATTTTTTATTGTAGCTACTATCCTTGCCTCTGCCCATTTAATAAACAAAAAATCATATAACAGTCCTCTTTTCATATCTTTATTGGATATAACCAAGCTCATAAAGACTATCGCTGTTTGAATCCACTCACAGGTCGTGTTCTTATTAGTCAGAATATTGTTTTTCATGAAACGGATTTTCTGTTTGCTACCAGTGCATTTTCATCATCCCCCTATTTCCCAAGGCACTTATGTTTCTACTCCCTCTATCTATCACCCTGCACCCGATCCTTCTACTCTAGTTTCTTCTTCACTAGAACCACTGCTAGACTACCCTCCTTCTCTAGACTCACCCACTCCCTCCCCTGAGCCTAGGATGAGATCAATGGATTCCATCATGAGAAATGCTTAACCGACACCTCCACCAATTTGGTCTCACTCTATGACTACGAGATCTCAGTCCTGTGCATCTATACGACATCCATTATCAGAGGCTTTACTAGCACATTATTCTAAATTGCCTATTGAACCAACCTCTTTTTCTCATGCAAATAAACATGTTAAGTGGTGCAGAGTGTGAAGAGTTTGATGCCCACATGGAAAACGGTACCTAGACTCTCGTTCCCTACGAGTCTCACATGAATGTTATCGGCTCCAAGTGGGTTCTTCGAATTAAATAAAATTCTGATGGCACCATTCAATGTTATAAAGTGAGGTTGATTGCTCAGGGGTTCTCTAAGCAACCTGGCATTGATGTCAAGGATACCTTCAGCCTAGTTGTAATACTGGCCACTATCAGAACTATTACTAGAATTGCTCTAAATAGGGGGTGGCGGATTCGGCAACTTGATGTCAGTAATGCTTTCTTGCATGGTGATTTACATGAAACTGTTTATATGTGCCAACCTCAAGGCTTTGAGGATTCTTAATACCCCTCTCATGTTTGTAAGTTATGGAAGGCTCTCTATGGTTTGAAACAAGCATCCTGTGCTTGGTTCTCTAAGTTAAGCTCCACATTGGTTAAATTCGGTTTTATGGCCTCTAACTCCGATTCTTCTCTCTTTATTTACAATCATGGTGGCATTCTCATATATCTGCTTGTTTATGTTGATGACTTGTTGCTCACTAGAAATGATGAATCCACTCTTTCATCAAAGATAAATCACCTTGCCTCCTCTTTTGCGATCAAAGATCTTGGGACACTCCATCATTTTCTTGGCATAGAGGTTCACTCTTCAGGACTGCAACTCTCACAGCACAAATACATACTAGACATCCTTCAAAGATGTCATCTTGTAGATTCAAAACCAATTGCTACACCTCTCTCTACACATTCTTCCCTTTCCAAGTATGAAGGCCAACCTCTAGTAGATCCCTCTAAGTATCGTAGCATTGTTGGCTCTCTACAGTATGCCATCATGATCGGGCCAGATATTGCGTTCAGTGTGAACAAAGCATGCCAGTTCCTTTAGCAACCTACTGATGTTCATTGGAGTTTTTGTTAAATGCATTCTTCATTATTTAAAGGGATCATTGATCACTCTCTATCTTTCAGTTCCACCGGAGACCTATCCATTCATGGGTACTGTGATGCCAACTAGGTCGATTGTCCAGATGACTGCAAATCAACTGGAGGTATGGTCATTTTTCTTGGCAAAATTTAATTAGTTGGAGGGCCATAAACAAGCCACTATCACTTGCTCTAGCACAGAGGTTGAATTCCGCGCTCTCACTGATCTTATAGCGAAGTCGTCTATTTCACATCTCTACTAAAAGAATTACACATGCCTATTTCCTCCCCACCCGTGATTTGCTGTGACAATGTTGGAGCAACTTATCTTGCTGCAAATCCAATTTATCATGCACGTACAAAACATGTGGAGGTGGATTATCACTTCACCAGGGATCGAGTCACCAGTGGAGCATTGATAGTTCAACATCTTTCTTCTGTAGATCAGTTGGCTGACATCCTTACCAAAGGGCTCCCTAGAACTCGGTTTTTGGAGTTACGTAGAAAACTCAACATCATTCCCTTGCTGCTGAGTTTGAGGGGGCATGTTAGTGCATCAATCCAAGAGGACTCTCGATGTTGTGAAGATAAGACTTAAGCTACGTAAATCCTAGATAAGATAGGATTGTAAATCTAGATAAGCTAGAACTGGTAACTATTCTTCTATAAATCAAACTCCAGTAATCATGTACGAACTCTCAATGTCTATATATCTAGTACATTACAGCAATAAGATCATTGATCTCTTATTGTAGAAAACATTCTCTTTCTCCCGTATCTCTCTCTCTCTTCTCTCTCTTCTCTTTGTCTTAACTGAGCCTTGCTCCAATAACATGGAAGAATACCAAGTTTTAATCATCGGCTTAGAAATGGCCCTTGATTTAGAAAAAAATTCACCACATCATAGAATATGGGGATTCGGAATTGGTAATGAACCAGCTGAAGACAGAGTATGAAGTGCACAAGGGTGACTTGGTTCCCTACCACCATTATGCAATACAATTACTGAAGGAGTTTGGGCATGCTACCATTGAGCATATACTTAAAAGTGAAAACAAACAAGCAGATGCCCTTGCCAATCTAACAACAGTCTTAGCACTCATGGGTGATGAAGCAACAACAATACCCATTTGTGCAAAATGGTTTCTACCCCCTAAGTCACCTCAAGAAGAGGTAGAACAGAAAACTGACTCAGTTTCTATATTTATTATTGAAGTTGAGGACTAGAGACAACCTCTCATTGACTACTTACATCATGGGATGTTGCCTAAAGATCCCAAGCTTAGAATTGAGATACAACGTCAAGCACTCTATTTCTATACTATAATGGCAACCTCTATAGGCGCTCATTTAATGATGTCTACATGAGGTGTATTCAAGGATTCATGGAAATGAAATTCAAGGCGCACTCGACCAAGAACACTCTGGAGTTTGTGGTGCTCAGCAGTCAATACCTAAACTCCACAATCGGCTTAAGTGAATGGGATTCTATTGGCCAACAATAATGCAATACTCAATAGGATATGCCAAAAGATGTCAACCATGTCAATTTCATGGGGATTTTATTCGCCATCCACCAGAACCTCTACATCCTAAAGTTGCATCGTGGCCATTTAATGCATGGGGACTTAATGTGGTTGGTCCTTTACCTATGTCTTCTCGCCAACACCTCTTCATCCTAGCAGCAACAGATTACTTTTCCAAATGGGCTGAAGTAGTTCCTCTTTGAGAATTGACGAAAGAAGATGTTGTCAACTTCCTCTACACTCATATTGTTTACCACTACAGCGTTCCATGTTACAAAATCACAGATAATGGGAAGCCATTTTCAATAGCATTAGTGACACAATTTTGTGATAAATTTGACATTAAACAGAGGTTTTCAACCACGTACAATGCAGCGGCCAATGGACTAGCCGAGACCTTTAACAAAACTCTTTATAAATTATTCGAGAAGATAGTGTCCAAGGCGATGAGAGATTGGCATGAATATTGCTTGGATGAGGCCTTACGGGCATATTGGACATCTTACCGCACCACTACAAATGCAACTCCATTTGCTTTAGTATATGGTGTGGAAATTATACTTCCCCTCGAGAGACAAATGAACTCCCTAAGGATGGCTATCTAAGAGGGGATTATAGAAGATGAGAACGCAAAGTTATGATTAGCTAAGATTGAAGCACTAGACGAGAAGAGGTTAGAAGCTCAACAAAGAATAGAGTGCTACCAAGCTCGTTTGGCTTGTGCATTCAACAAGAAGGTTCGACTTTGCTCGTTTTAGAAAGGAGATCTAGTCCTTGTTGTTTGACGACCTATCCTTCTCTCACACCATTTAGGGAGGAAATTTTACCCTAAATGGGATGAGACTCATGTGGTGAAAGAAGTTTGCACTACTGGTGCTTATCTCCTTGTTATATGAGAGGGTCTCCGTCTTGGGCCCATTAATGGTAAATACCTTAAGAGGTACTACCCTTAGTCTTTTGCATTGTAATACTCCTGGTCTGCATGAACCTAAATTGTGAACGAGAAAACAAAACAAAAACAATCTTATCATTATAATGCTCCTAGCCCACTTGAGCTTAAACTATGAACGGAAAAACAAATGTCAAACATGAGAATTTATCTCTTAGAAGAAAAAGAAGGAAATATCAAGTCCATTTCCAACATGGTGGGCTGTATGGGAATCAGGTGTCACCTTGAACCTATGAGATCCATTAATTGTTGAGAACAATTCCAACGTTAAAATCTTTCGTAACACCTAATCCAAAATCCCTTGTTAATTTCCTTTTCTTTTGGGTTTTAAAAATGGTAACACCACTGCAGCTCCTCTCCCATCACAATCTCACCCCTCTCTCTCTCTTTCAGCGAACCAAAATATAACAACCCGGATACATTGCTCATCTCCCCTTTCTCTCGATAGGGGAGCAGCGGTAGGGAGGTGATGGATTCTCTCCCTCCGGTCTCTTCTCTCTTACCTCCCTCTATTTCTCTCTATTACCTAGGGTAGTTATGGAATAAATGCCTGGCGGACAATCGAAGTAGAAGCAAACTAGGTTTGTGGACCGACTTGTGCTCGAGGTCGTTAATGGCGGCCATGGTGGGGGTGGTCTTGGAGTAGTGGAGATTGGTCTTGGTAAATGGGAGAGTAGGGTGCTGCTAGAAGTAGTAGTCACATATGTGCTCTCAAAGGTGAGATCGATGGGGTGAAAACGAAGAAGAAGAGCGAGAAGAAGAGAGAAAGAGAGAGAATCATCCATAGTCGTTGCTTTCATATTGAAACAAGGGAGGTGAGATCCTTGCTTGTTCGATGCGGCAATCTTGCTGATTTCGAGCTAGGGTTCTGATGGAGCCACCGACTTCAGCTCTGTTCTAATTGTCGAAGGGAAGAGCGAGAAAGCTGACATACGTTTTTTTCCGATGCTCTGTGTTCTCGACCTTCTGTTCAGGTCAGTGTCTTGTTTCATAAAGGAAAGAGAAAGATAGAGGGAAGAGAGAGACGGGAGGAGGAAAGTGGTGAGCGTAATATTGGATTTTAAAAAAAGATTAATGGTCACGTGATATTACATGAAACAGTAGAAGTGGTGCAACACAATAGTTAAACAACAGTTTGTCAATTAACTAAACAATAAAAATAATTTAATAAATTTATTTTAAATAAAAAATATTTTTATTAATAATAAAAATGAATAAAATTTAAATCGAATACTGAAATTGTTATTTTTATTATAAATTTGTCGCATGCATTGCTAGCTAGTTAAATTAATCAAGTAGAGCTGTAGAGGGACCATTTTACCAAAAAAAGAAAATAAGGGCCCACCATGGGATGGGAAGAAGGGTTAAATATCTCCACCCATCATTTGACTTTGTTTGAATTGCACCATTCCAAAGCAAAGGCTGCTCAACGTGAAAAGCGAATGGGAACCGCCTTCTCAAGCTGCTCAACGTGGACGCTATTGTGGTGGCTTTTGGCTCCTATTACGGTATCACCGTCCACTCGTTTTGAATTCCTCCCTAAAATTCCCTCTCAAGTCTGACCTACCAAATATCCGCTGCACGCGGCGATGTGACATGAATCCGGTTGGATGCTATTCCCATTTTCGCATTCAGGTGGCTGTTTTCCTCTTATTCCTATATATATATATATATATATATCCACAAGCACCTAGTTTCTGAAACACTATTGGATCTGTTTTCTAGCACCCAATATGGATAATAGTAATAGAAAGATTTACTCGGTTCCAAAACATTGATTGATGCATTTGGATTAGGATCACTCACACCAAGTTACAGATAAGCCTCATCTCCATGTTTCTCTCTCTGTCTTATCTCTCTCAAGTCTCATTAACTTCGCTGGCAGATTACTACAAAGAAAAAGATCAAACAGCAAATTGTGCAAAAGACATTAACAAGAAAGCGTGTACTCTTTAGTTGATGGCTCGCAATTGTTGACCAAGCCAATCAACTCCACCAGTACTTCATGGTACAACCCTTGGGTAATCCATGCATTCAAATTAAACCCGGTGTGTTTTCAAGTTGCTAATTTAATTTTTGACCATCTATCTCAGCTCCTATAAAAGGAGGTCTTATCTCCTTTTCTACAATGTGTATTGAATACAGAACTCCATCTCCGTATATATACTCCGAAGTCCACAGCCTGCCATGTCGATTTATGGGAATCAAGGCCAGCAGCTTGAGGTCACAGGTATATATATACCATATGGTCCATATCCATGGCCGAGTTCCTCTGCATTTACATGCTCAAGCAATCTATTATATCTGCATTACTTTACAATATCAACTCCCCACAAATTTTCTTCACCTTTTGTTGATGGGTTTCTCTGGTTGTAGTTGTTGGATGTACCAAGTTGAAGGACACAGAATGGATTTCAAGGCAGGATCCATACGTCTGCTTGGAATATGGGAGCACCAAGTACCGGACCAGGACCTGTACTGGTGCGTTTATATCATATCCATCAATTCACCCCCTTCTCTTCTTCCCTCACTTTGGATCTCTATTCTTTTTTGCTCAAGCACATTAATTCTTGTTTCTTTTCTTTGTACAGATGGAGGCAAGAACCCCACTTTCCAGGAGAAGTTCATTTTCACGCTTATAGACGGCCTTCGAGAGTTGCATGTTATGGTTTGGAATAGCAACACCCTCACTTCAGACGACTTCATTGGGCAAGCAAGGTAACAATCACCCCAGTCTTTGGATAAGATTGTTGGAATAATTTACGATTATTACAATTTCCAGTCTCTCAAGTTCCTTATTAGGGCCTATTAGTTTTTTAGATTTTAAGGGGGAATGTCGGTCATTGGGATTTTGGTTCCCATTGTGTTTTTTTTTTTTTTTTTAAATTTATGTGGGGTCATAAAAAAATCATTTTCACAGGGTATTACTTACCTGATAAGTGATACCCATCTCTCAAGTGATGGATAAGTGACTTTCCCACCTGAGAGCAAGGGCAGAGCTAGAAGGGGGACCAAAAGCTAGCAAGAATGGATTGGGAGGGGAGGGGAGGGGAGGGGCAAAACCTAATAAATATAGGTAGGACGCAAAGATCTAAGGGGGAATTAAATGGATATTATGGGATTTTTAAGGTGGCTCCCCACCGCCACCCCTGGCTCCACCTTGCCTGGTGGGAAAGTTGCCAACACTTTGACGGGACAAAATTGCCCCTTTTAATAATGGTTTATTATGGTTAATATAGTAATTGTCATATTTACTTAAGAAATAAAAGAACATGAGTAAATATACTTACTTGGATAAGTAGTTTCCTGAAAAGTAAACGGGGTCTGAGTATTTACTATTTGGTGAATATATTAAATGACACTTTATTAATACAAAATCCCCCCAAATTTAAGTCTCTCTCTCTCTGCTGAATTAATTATTTGTTAATCTTTTCTGTTTCCACTATCTTTTTATAGGATTCAACTCCACAAGGTCCTTTCTCAAGGCTACGAGGACACAACATGGCCAATACAATGTAGAAATGGCAGGTAATTATAAAAGAAAATTAATAATAATGAAAACACTTACTATTCTTCTTTCACTATATATCTATTTTTTTTTTTTTTCTTTTCAAGGGCTATACAATGGGGGTACGTAGCCCATCCCCCAACCCAGGTGCAACGCTATCCCAAGTACCTTACCAATAACCGGCTGGTTGGCATCTTGCAAAATTAAATAATGTATATTTATTTTTATCTCTTAATTATTATCTTTTGATCTCAAATATAACTGTATATTTATTTACAACATAACGTCCAATTGCAGATACTCAGGAGAAGTTCGACTCATACTGCATTACCCAAATGCCAATGTAAGCTTTCTCTTTCCATGGTCTCTACGAGACCACTACTTAATTACAAGTGATAAGGGTTGGAATTTAACATTACACTTACATTATCTGCCCATTTGCAGAAATTACCAGCGACAAGCTACGCCATGTCTGCAACACCATTGGGAGCTGCAATCTCTTTCCCACATCCTCAATCTTATTACACATCACTCCCTCCTCCTCCAGCAACATATGCACCATCTGTTTATCCTCCTCCTCCAGCTGGGTATCCTCCTCAGCAATACCCAACAACCACCTATACCACACAGCCCTACCCACCTCCACTACATGGAACCCCTTATCCACAAGGTATATATTGCTTTATCTCTTGATTTTCTACTTCCAATCTATATTTTTTTTTAAGGCAATGGGTAATTTCATTAAAAATGCAAAGAATCTCAAATACAAATTTTGAGAGTACAATCAGTAATAGTAGACCAAAAAATGAAAAGATAAACCCAAACCAAATTCTTGATAAAGAAACAAATCCTGAGCACTGTGAAAAATTTTTGTAAGAATTCTGCAAATGATGCAAAAAGATGGAAATGCCAATAAAGAAGGACCGACCTCCAACAGAGTCAAAACACAGCAAGGAACTCCCGAAAATGGGGATACACATTGATATGTATTGGTTGATATCAAGGTTCAAAACATCGACATATATATATATATTGATTGATATATATGTATTGATTTTCAGCGCCATCAATTCTCTTAATAATATAAGTTGGTTGATTTTGATTATTTTAAATCTTAATAGTTAATATTACACATCTTCTCTCAAATTATAAAACCAAAAAGTGTAGGAAAATAAGTTTTGATCAAAATAAATTATTAATACACATTTTTCTTATCAAGAGTATTGAACCTTGGCTCCTATTATTTTTATTTCTACAAATTGGAGTTTTATCTGATTATTTATGGAACATTTGGATGCAGCTCAATATTCTGGAATCTATCCGCCACCACCCAACTAAGTCGTTTGGCTCCATATCCGATGCTCATAGAGCCAGCCAGGGAAGAAGGTGGCTGTCATTGTGTGAGCAATGATAATAGTACTGCTAGTCATCTTGTTTAAATGGAGAAGAATGCTGTCTTTGAAGTCTTCCCCCCCCTCTCTCTCTCTCCTCCCCCCGTTTTTTATGATGTTTGTATTCTTTCAGTGAATTTTTTTCATGTCTACATAATAAAGATAGATAAAAGCACAACAATTAGAAAATCGTCTCGTAGTATATTCATGGACAAGGCTGTTCTTGAACTCTCTCTCTCTCTATCTCTCTCTCTCTCTATATATATAACACTTAACGATACCTTGTGACTCTTTTATCCTCCTATACATATGGTGGTGAAGCTATAGGTAGAGTGGTCTCCTTAAAGGATGAAGAATTTGAAAGGGATGGTAGGATCCATCGTATGGACGCCAAAACTATTGCGAATGGGTGGGCGAATTTCAAAAAATTTTCTACCTTCCTTTCAATTGGGAATCACATTCCCTGATTTTAGAATCATATTCAAGGATCCTACTTGAATCAAACCAGACCAGATTTGAACCAAAAGAGAAGGGAGTGATTATACCTGATCCAGAGAAATAATATCTCCCAAAGTTGGTGTTCACGCCCAAAGAAGACACCAAGATCTGCTCTTGCTGAAGATGACACAACAACTGTGGAACAGAACCAGCAGAGTGCGTCCTACGCACCAAATCCTTCACAAGAATCCTCTGGAAACAATGAGCACCAAACTGAATCAGCCTTTCAGCAAAGACTATTATCAAGAACTCTTTATTGATCTTTCCTTCACAGAGAAATCGAACAAATGGTGGTTGGTGGCGGCTGATGGAGAAGAGAACAAGAGAAGAAAGTGGCGAACTGCTTTTTTTCTTCTCTAGGGTTTCTGAGATCCAATCTTTAGAATGCAGGTGTGTTCTCTGCGAAATCCCTTGGGTTCGAATTCTTGTAATTCGAATTAGGGTTTCCTCCACTTGCTTAATGATTAAGAAAACCTCCTAATCATATCAGGAGTTGCCTTTATCCAAATCTGTATTTGGATTAAGACTCTTCTTAATCTTATCTGCAGATTAGATAAGCTTTTGGGCTCATCCTAATCTCAGATCCGCCCCCTTTTGTGACTGATCAAATCAGCCCAATTCAAAATGGGATTTAGGCCCATTAAGTAATAAGTGCTCAATGGTCTTCTAAACTGCTGCCCAGTTGGGCTTCTTTGTATGGTGTGGGACCCAAGCATTGATCTACACATCAGTCACATGGGTTCGGCCCAGCCTCTGTTACAAAGCCTAGCCGAATTCACTAGAAAGCCCAGTGAACCCCTTTAGCCCATCACATGGACCCTATGGGCCCAACACTTACACTAAGTGGTCCCTGGGCTAAGCAATCTTATAATAACCTAAGAACTATGGGTAGATGCAAGATTAGCCCATCAGGTATTATCCTAAATGGCCTTATACTTAACCTCCCAGCCCATAATGATCAAACACTACCCAACAAGAGAGGACCTCTCCCTCGGCTGCAAGGAACAGCGCTGCACTCTTTACTCATATGGATCCCGGGAATTGAAACCATTTGCAAACATTTTGAAACCATACATATCTATTATCATATATATAAATTTTGCAAAACGAAATTCCAACGATTCAAATCAACTGCCGGCAGTTTGGTTTCCATCAGAGAGAGAGCATCCCTGATCATTACCTTTGTTCGACAAAGGGGCTGATCCCGTCACTATGATCACCCACTCAGATGAATTCTCAGACTATCCCAACATACGCAGGTTTTGACCCCCGCTAAGGATCTCACTGATTGACATATCAAAGACAGCCCAATCCGACACCTAGTGTAGTACCATAATCGAGTCTAGGGGTCAGGTGTAACTTTCCAGTTTTGCCCATCAATCTCCAAGGTCTATGGCAATACTAGAAATCTGGTCCGGTTCAAGGGTTCAAGTAATCCTACACTACGTTTGCCTTGGGTCTCACCCTGGCGGATGAGACAAGCCACCCCAATAGTTGGCAGCACACTAGTGTTAGCCTTGGCAGGATAAATCTTCCCAGACTTATCCAACGGTTGTGAACATTTAAAACCAACACAAGTCTCATTAAGTGTCAAGTTTTAGGGTTTTACACAGAAGTATACCACACAACATGAATCAAACATGTACTTTATTTATTTACATTAAATATCAAAAGTACATCAAAGTCGATTGAAGCTAAGAGCATACAAAAATTGTCCAACAGAATTATTAGGATTAGGGTTGCAAAGAAGTACGCCTTCGGTTGCTCAGGAGTCTTAACAAAGTGGGGTAGCAATGAAGGTAACGAAAGTGTCATGGTTGTACTTTATTCCCTCTTTTTATAAGGGATCCCAAGACTTTAAGGAGAATGATAGAAAAAAGGGTTTGATTCCTATTAGGAAAATGAATCATTGTCTTTGTATCAATTATCAAATGAACACTACTATGATTTTCCCACGTGTCTAATGAGATCTCTTGAGGACAAAGTTTCCTTTCGTTCGAGGATTGTCTTTTAGCACGTGTATGCTACTTCCCATCGTAGGTTCCTTGAGGTCACGTATCATGGCCAGGCCTAGGTTTGACTGCTATGTCTGGTTGTCCATCTTATCACCTTCAGGATGCTTCTCTATAGCCGTCGTGATTAATCGGCAATATTATGTTCTCATCRCAAGTTCAAGGTAGCTCTTCAAGCTCATCGTAGTTATGAGATGGCTCTTTAAGCTGATCGTAAGTTTTGGGTGGTCCTCCATGTTGCTACAAGTGTATGTGTGGTTTTGTTTCGATTCCTTAATCATGATCGTGGAAATGKGGAACTACATATACTTACAATTAGCCCCTTGCTTATTGGTACGTGTATTTTTATCAACAAACATTTTTGTAGTTAGTGTATCTTGCAATTTGATGTTATGGAAGTGGAAATTGATACCCATCGATTGCGATTTTACAATTGCCGCTTGGAGAAGAAAGTTGACGATCTTTGCATTTTGTCAGGGTGATGGGAGTGGTTGGTGTTCATTCCTTAGGGTTGGGTATCGCATAGCGATGGGGCTTTGTATTAGTGAGAGCAGGGAATGGAACAATTGGTTGGGTTGCACATTCATTTTATAACCCATTGTTTGGTGATAGGGACTAGATCAACCCCTTGTCTACTTTATATCCATTATGAGAGAGTGAAAAATTTCGTTATCTTGGGTTTTTGTTGCATTGGATTTTGGACTTTGAAGTTGTTGTTGAAATCTAATCATGTGCAGCCTGGTGAATGAAGGATTGTGGGTGGTAGCTCGGATGGGATATTGTTAGTGCTTCTATTTAGTGGTGCATTAGACTGAAGGGATGGGAGATCCATCATATGGATGGCTGAACCCTACAAGAAGGTTGGGCGAAATTTCAAAAATTTCTTTACTCCCATCTGGGAATCCTATTCCCAATTTAGAAAACTACATTTTCAAGGTTCGTTCTTGTAACCAAACCAGACTAAATCTAAAACTAAGATTAGGGAGGGATATACCTGATACGGAATTTATGCAAAAAGCTCCTCCCAACGTAGGTGTTCATGCCCAAAGAGTGTACCAAATCTTCCCTCCACTGAAGATGACACAGCTTAGGAAGAGGCAGGATCAATAGGTAGTTCTTCACCAAGATCTTGTGATTCTTTAGCAAGAATTGAATGGGTAAGTGACCATAGGTTCAAAATTGTTTCTTCTAGCAAGAAACAATATCAAGATCAAATCTTGATTAGATCCAAGAATTGGAGATCAAACAGGGTAGGGCGGTAAGAGCATGAAGAAAAAGAACTGAAGGCAAGATCAGTCTAATTGAGTTGTCTTCTCTTTGTGTTGTGTTTGATGTCATTTTCAGGTCCGCCTTGTTCTCTATTTATAACCTTAAAGAGACAACCTCATAATCTGATTAGGAGTTTTCTGATCCAAATCTTTATTTGGATCTAAACTCTTTAAGTGATAAGGATAATCCCTTATCTTATCTATAGTTCAAAATCAGCTTATTCCTAATCAAATTAGGAGTTTCCTTATCCAAATCTTTATTTGGATTTGGATTCTTTAAGTGGATAAGAGTTATCCTCTTATCCTTATCCGTTGATCCAAACCTAGATCTGCCCCTATTTAATTAATCCAATTCAAAATGGGCTTTTAGGCCCATTAAGCTTTCAGGCTTACTTCCTTTTAATGCTGGCTAGCTTGGCTTTCTTTGTATGGCGTGGGATCCTAACATTGATCTACACATCAATCACATGAGTTCAGCCTAGCCTCTGTTACAAGGCCTGGCCGAATTAACTATTGAATACAGTGAACCCCTGAGTGCATCACCATGGGYTCTTAATGGAACCAACATTTACACTAAATGGTCTTTGGGTCCAGCCATCTTATGAAGGCCCAAGGATTGTGGGCAAATGAAAAATTAGCCCATCATGTATAACCCTCAATGGTCTTACACTTAACCTCTCAGCCCTTGATGATCAAACATTGCTCGACAAGAGAGGACCTCTCCCTTGGCTGCAAGTTATAGCGCTGCACTCTCCACTCACATGGATCCCAGGAATTAAAACCTTTTGCAAACATTTTGAAACCATAATATATATATAAATATATTTTTCAAAAACAAATTTCAACAGTTGAAATCAACTACCGGCAATTTAGGTTTCCATCAGAGAGAGTGCATCCCCGATCATTCACTTTGTTCAACAAAGGGGGTGATCCTATCACTACGATCACCCACTCAGATGAATTCTTAGACTGTCCCAACATACTCAAGTCTTAACCCCCTCTAAGGATCTCATTGATTAGTACATCAAAGACAGCCCAATCCGACACCTAGTGCAGTATCATAATCGAGTCTAGGGGTCAGGTATAACATTCCAGTTTTACCCATCTATTTCCAAGGTCTAAGGAAATACTGGAATTTTGGTATGGTTCAAAGTTTTAAGAAAACTCACACTACATGTACTTCAGGTCTCACCCTGGCAGCTGAGACAAGCCACCCCAACCAACTTGGCAGTACACTAATGTCAGTGATGAGACCAAAAAGAACCCTATTTTTATCCTCTAATATTCACTCTTTTATATTTATCTAGCACTTAAATGGACTCATTACTCTTGTATTTCGATGCAGGGCAATAAAGAAGGCAATTRGAAGAAAACAGGGCAAATCGGGTGATTTTGCACAATTTTAGCGGCAGTCAGTAATCTGGATCTAACTCTC